CAAATCTCCAGCCATCAGCTGTAACAAGGTATTTCAGCTAACCTCTGTCTCTGCTGTCCCTCTCCTTATGGGACCATTTCTTCCCTATTTCTGACCTATTTCTGATCCACTCCCTTCTTTCTGAATGCTTTTCACATCTTGTCTCCAGGCATGTGAAGGGCCTGAGTCTAGCCAGGAAGCTTGATCAGTATTTCTGAAGATCCACGTGTGGTAGTGCTGGCAGAGGCAAGCCCGTCTGCAGCACAATATCAGGGTCCAGAAGCCAGAGAGTTCATGCTGACTTTTTATTACTTGATGAGAAGTCATCACGACATCTTCAGTTTAAAGCACTATGCATTTATTATCTCAGAGTTTTAGTGGATTAGAAATCTGGACACAGTTTAGTGGACTCTTCTATTCTGGGTCCCACAAGGCTACAATCAAGGTGTCAGGTAACTGCATTCTTTCAGAAGTTTGGGGTTCTCTTCCAAGCTCAAGTGGTTATTAGAAGAACTCAGCTGTTTGACATCTCCCATCTTGCTAGCTGTTATCTGGGGACCATTCATAAAGGGTGCTTTCAGCTTCTTGCCACATGGATCCCTCACAGGTCCTCTCACAACATGGAAGTTTGCCTCATCCAGATCAGCAGGAGAATCTCTGTACTTTCCTTCTTTTTTGAATCATCATCAGCAGCAGCTTTTTAAATGAAGTATAGTTGAATTACAATGTTGTAAATCTGTACTTTTAAGGTAATCCTTGGATTAGATGAGGCTTACAACGGATGAAGTGAAGAAGTGAAGTCGCTCAGTCATGTCTGAATCTTTGTTAGCCTGTCAGGCTCCTCTGTCCATGGGATTTTCCAGGCAAGAATACTGGAGTGGGTTGCCATTTCCTTCTCCTTACAAGGGATAATCTCCCTTTTAAGTAGTTCAAAGTCAACTGATTAGGCACCTTAATTACATCTGGGATCTCTTTTGTCATAAAAAGAAACGTTATCATAAGAGTGACATACTACCATACTCACATACCCTCCCGTACTCAGGGGATGTGGGCCTCTGAAGGTCATTTTAGAGCTCTGTTCTCCGTCAGGGTCCCTTCCTGGCTGTCACAGCCTTGTGGCTTAAGTTCAGTTTTCTGTTCAGTTAAGTTCTGCTTCTCTGGGTTGGGTGGTGTTGGGAGCCTTTGAAATTTACGCAACTTCTTCACACTCTCTATTTTATTTAATCTTTACTGCAGCTTCCTGATATATATGCTCCTACCTCCAATTTACCAGTGAGGGACCTGGAGCACAGAGAGCTTAAAAAGAGGTCCCAGGTCACTTAGTTAGAAAGCAGAACTTGAAACCCAGATCCTCTACACCAAATAGCACGTTCTTTCTCCAACATCTCTCCTCTGAGGCACTCACTGAGACTTGAGTTCAGTTTGGAGTCTGATCTAACTAGGGAGAAAGTCACTCCAGAGCTGTCCTCACACAGGAACAAGGCTGTGATGTGGACTGGAGAACTGCTGTTAGGATCACTGTTCAGAATTTTTCAGGTCATTCACTGCACAACCTCACCGGGTAATGTTCACACACACAGTCACAGCCCACTGCTCAATGTTATGTGCCGGACTGGACGGGAAAGGGGTTTGGGGGAGAGTGGACACGTGTATTATGGCTAAGTCTCTTGGCTGTTCACCTGAAACTATCACAACATTGTTAATCGTCTGAACTCCAATACAAAATGTTTTTTTGGTGTTAAAAAAATAAATAAAATTTAAAAAATAAATGAAACAAAAAAATGGAGCTTCTCCAGGGTCAAATATTAGCAAATACTATTCTCACTCCCTGATTCCAGGAAGCCAGGACAAAGACCAGTGGGTAGAGTTCATAATAAAAACAACTGTGGCTCAGTAGAAAAATAGCAAACTTTGCAGTGTTCAGAATTTCCCATTAGCATGTGTAAAACTTTATATTTTGGGAATTTTTAGTTTAAGGTCCCATGAGGTAGGGGATTCTACTAATGAACATGAGTTTAGAGAGTATATAAGTGACATACAGATTTTGGAATGTATTCAAAGATAGATGAGTGATCTTAAAAAACTTAATTCTTAATTTCCTAAGTCCATATTATGATGGCCATAATAACTATAACTACCTCATATGGCTGTTTTAAGTACAGAAAAGGTTGTGTGTGTATCTATATCTCTCTTTACATTATATATCCATCTATCCTTCAGTCTGTGTATCCATCCATCCATCCACCCACCTACCAACCTATCTACCTTGAGCACATCCTACCTACATGAGCACAATGCTCCACACATGATAGAAGCTCAATAAATGTTAGCGGCCATTATGATTATGTTCTTTACAACTACTGAATGATGCTTTCAACACAGCAGAACTTCCTTTTATCTCTGCAGGTGTAAGCAGAGTGGTGGCACTCTCAGAGATGCCATTTTTCATGCTTATTTGTAGGATAATCACATAACATAAAGTCCATTTTATCCAATGCTTAGGGTGGAAATCTGGCAGAGGTGAAACTTTCCCTACTTCTAGGTAAAGAATGGTATGAAACAATGATTATGGTCCACTTTTCTGAAGTTTCCTCTAACAACTTTATTTCTCAACTTTTAAAATGGAACTTATCCTAATATCATATGGCATTCCTTATATGTGGAATCTAAAAAGAAATGATACAAATGAACTTAATTACAAAACAGAAAAAGACTCACAGATTTAGAAAATGAACTCATGGCTGCTGGGGGGAAGATGCAGTTAGGGACTTTGGGAAGGTCATATACACACCGCTGTATTTAAAGACCCATTGTAGAGCACATGGAACTCTGCTCAATGTTATGTGCCAAACTGGATGGGAGAGGGGTTTGGGGGAGAATGGATACATGTATATGTATGGCTAAGTCTCTTCGCTGTTCACTTGAAACTCTCAGAACATTGTTAATCGGCTGTACCCCCAATACCAAACGTTTCTTGGTGCTAAAAAAAAAATCAATAAAAATAAAAAAAAAAAATGAAACAAACAAAAAAATGGAGCTTCTCCAGGGTCCAATATTAGCAAATACTATCCCCACCATGACTCTTAGAATTAACACATCTATTTCGAATCTCTCATTCTGCAGCATGGATGTCGTCCCCTCACCCAGAAATCAGTTTTGTCAATTCAGCCTGAAAGGTCTATTGTCAAAAAGCATGTGAATCCTGTGGGAGTGCCACTCATTTTCTTTTTTGCTGATAGGTGATGCAGATGTACCTGAAAAAAGGTGTGATGTTCCTTGACAAGCTGCAAAGATGCAGCTGTCAAAAATAATCACTGCGTCAGAACAGCTGGAGACCGAAAAAGTATCCCTGGCTGCTTTATAAAAACCAGCAAGCCGGCCTCTTCATGCTTCATAAAAAAGCACAGTGAGGAAGGGCTATGAAGCTTACACATCTGCCCCTTAGGTCACAGTTTTCAGTGTGGTTCCATGTAACCCAAGGGCTTCCCAGGGGCTGCTTGGGGTAAAGATGCAGCAGACATAAGAAACAGGGTTTGATCCCTGGGTAGGGAAGATCCCCTGGAGAAGGGCATGGCAACCCACTCCAGTGTTCTTGCCTGGAGAATGCCATGGACAGAGGAGGCTGGCGGGCTATGGTTCATAGGGTTGCAAAGAGTCGGACATGACTGAAGCAACTTAACACATACACACATATGCAAGCTGAAACTATTCCTAACTGTTGGTCTGCACTACCCTCTCTCCCTACTCATTGATTTACCCTCCTCTCCCTTCTCATTTTACTCATTCATTCATGCAAAAATTCACTCATTCATTCAGAAAGTATTTATGAATTCACATCTATATATACCTGCTTGACCTAAGGAGATTTACAATCTAGTAGCTTCCCCAATGACTAAACAGTAAAGAATCGAATCCGCCTGCAAAACAGGAGATGCAGGTACAATCCCTGGGTTGGGAAGATCCCCTGCAGTAGGAAATGGCAACCTATGCCAGTATTCTTGCCTGAAAAACCCCATGGACAGAGGAGCCTAGTGGTCCTCGTCCGTGTGGTCGCAAAGGGTTGGATATGACTCAACACGCACATGGTAAAATAATACTGGGGCATTTCCTCAGGCGAAATCTCTCCTAATTGTTCAGTCTATAATTCTTTTAGCCGGTGTTTTGACTTCTGATAAAATTTTATATTATTGACTAAGAGCTCCATGTGGGTGACTCTCACTTTGACAAATAATCTTTAGATTTTATTTTTTTAATTTTTGGACCACATGGCATGTAGGATCTTAGTTTCCCAACCAGGAATTGAACCTGAGCCCCCTGCAATGGAAGCACAGAGTCTTAACCATAGGACTTCCAGGGAAGTTCCAATCTTTAGTTCTTTAAAGAGACGGGCCCTGGCTCAAGCTATCACTATTGCATCCTGAGCAGGATCTGGCTCTACTTCCAACCTCACCTGGTGTTTTTCATCTAAGACAAACTGGTTTCCTTCTTTGCTGGGACCCCATGCTCTTTCTCCCTCCGTGTTCAGGTTTGTGAAGTTAGTAAAATCTTATTTTTTTTAAGACTCAGCCTGGAATCTTCTCATGGAATACCTTTTTAGACTCTTTCCATCCCAACTCCTACAGAAAACCCCAAATCCGTGAATACACACAAGGTGCATAATATGGCATTTCTTTGTTAATACTACTTACAGTATATCATTTTCTACACATTTTATTGTTTGCTCATGAGCTCATACTATTCTTCTTTCCTGCCAGACTGAAGACCCCATGGAACAAAAGATGACATTCCTTCCTCCCACTGCCTGGCCCAATGCTGAATGCGGTAGCTGTCAACAAACACAAATTAAATACTAGTTGAAATTCAACAAGAGATCTGGAAAGTCATTACAGAAAGCTTGCTTTGACAGTCTCTTCTTTCAAGTACAGAGCTTTTGGAGAATTGTTATCCTCCAAAGGCACAGACACGTCTCACTGATGTGGCAGATTTACTTTCCAAGTAATTCTAACATCTCAGACCATTACCTGAGTCTGCCATCTTCTGCTGCAGCACCTCCCGGTATAATCTTCGTAATAAATATGCCAGGGTCATCTCCAATGTGGGGATTATCTGTCCCTCCAGCAATACTGAATCCCAGGCCAGAATTCCCCTGTAGAAACAATAAGTAGACATTAAATGATGTGGCTGTCATCTAAACCTAGTTCCCCTTGTACTTTGCCTTATCATCTTACTACTCAAATGGAAATCAGGTGATAACAGCCTTGTATGCAAAGCCATAAACTGCACCATCAGCAGACAAAGGAAGGTCAGGGAAAGTACTCAGGTTTGTCCCTGCATTGCAAGAATTCAAGTGCTTTATGTTTCTGCTTATTCAAAGGGCCTTACATTTTTGCTTCTAAGAAATACAGCCTTTATTAGAAACTAAAATGGTCATGATGAAATAAAAGTTGACACTGTGCAATATGAGAAAATGCAAGAGATTATTATGGTCCATTATAAAAATTATACACACATACAAGAAAGAACAGACGGAAGCAGGTTATGTGAAAAACATTTGATCTGACGGAGTAGTGAAATTTGGGTGTTTCCATTCTGCTATTTCTAGTATTGTTGCTCTAATATTGTTTATCCATCAAATAAGTTTATTTTCCTATTTGTTAATAGGAACTTTGACTTCAGAAGGCAACAGCCCCTTCTAGAGTCATAGCAAACATGAGACACTTTTCAGTAATAAGTAGGTTTTAATTTGCTATAGATACAGACAAGGAATATATTATTGTTGCAGCATGTAAATTTGAACAGCTTATGTTCTAATATAGCTTTCATACTTACTCCTGTAGACTATAGTAACTGACAACCAATGTACATATAACCATCTAAAATTTACATGCAATACATAATTAAAAGTCTCCCCCAAATTCACACACCATTGCACTTATCTCTTATTTTCATATTCTCTTTTAATCTCCATCTCCATGGCTACATTTTTGTTTCCATATTATGTTCCATTTTTTTCCTATTCACTTTATAGTTTCAGTCATTTTTATACAATTAGAAAGTCTTTATAATTATCCATTTAAGTGACTAAATAATATTTCACTAAGGTCATTTAACCAGTCCCTTGTCACTGGATGTTTAATTTCTCTATATACTCTTACAACAAATACAGCTTACTAAAGTTATGATCGTTTGATTAAGTTCTGCTCATGGGTAAAAAGAGATGATGAATAAGAAGTTAGTTGTTAATCCAGAAAAATTAATTAGGGCACTCAATTAGAGAAGTTCAGTGTTAAGATAAGATCAAGTATAACTTGCCAGTTAATACTACCACTGCAAATGTCAGGGTAAATCTTAGCAATTTTTATTGACTGCACTAATAAAACTCTGAATTTTCAGAGGGTTGTTCTCACAATTACATACTAAAAGGCTGAAGTTAATAATTTAACCATGGCCACTAAAATCTCATGTCTTTTTACTTCTGACTTCTAATTCTGTTTTTTCTTTGAAAAACTCCAGTGTTCCTTGGATATTATCTGACTACTTAAGAGCAGCCAAATAATTAATGTATTTGTCATTGTTGTTCAGTCTCTAAGTTATGACTATTTGTGACCCCATGGATTGCAACATGCCAGGCTTCCCCGTTCTTCACTATTTCCCAGAGTTTGCTCAACTTCATGTCCATTGAACCAGTGATGCTATCTAATCATCTCATCCTCCATCACCCTGATCTCCTCCTGCCCTCAATCTTCTCAGTATCAGAAGTGAAAGTGTTAATTGCTCAGTCGTGTCCAACTCTTTGTGACCCCACGAACACCAGCCTCCTCTGTCCATGGAATTCTCCAGGCAAGAATACTGGAGTAGGTGGCCATTCCCTTCTCCAGGGGATCTTCATGACCCAGGGATTGAAACCAGGTCTCCTACATTGCAGGCAGATACTTCAACATCTGAGCCACCAGGGGAGACCAGGGTCTTTACCAATGAGTCTGTTCTTCACATCAGGTGTCCAAAGTATTGGAACTTCAGCTTCAGCATCAGTCCTTCCAATGAATATTTAAGCTTGATTTCCTTTAGGATTGACTGGTTTGATCTCCCTGCTGTCCAAGGAACACTCAAGAGCGTTCTCCAGTACCACAGTTTGAAAGAAAGAATTCTTCAGGGCTCAATCTTCTTTATGGTCCAACTCTCACATCTATACATGACTACTGGAAAAAACATAGCTTTGGCCATATGGACCTTTGTTGGCAAAGTGATATCTCTGCTTTTTAATATGCTATCTAGGTTTGTCATAGCTTTCCTTATAATGAGCAAGCATTTTTCAATTTCATGGCTGTGGTCATCATCAGCAGTAGTTTTGGAGCCCAAGAACATAAAATCTGTCACTGTTTCCACTTGTCCCCCATCTACTTGCCATGAAGAGATGAGGCCAGACGCCATAAACTTAGTTTTTTGAATGTTGAGCTTTAAGCCAGCTTTTTCACTCTCTTCTTTCACCCTCATCAAGAAGCTCTTTAGTCCTTTTTCACTTTCTGCCATTAGACTGGTGTCATTGGTATATCTGAGGTTGTTGATATTTCTCCTGGCAATCCTGATTCCAGCTTATGAGTCATCCAGCCTAACATTTTGAATGATGTACTCTGGGAGAAATATCAATAACCTAAGATAAACAGATGACACCACCCTTATGGCAGAAAGTGAAGCAAGAACTGAAGAGCCTCTTGATGAAAGTGAAAGAGAAGAGTGAAAAAGTTGGCTTAAAAGTCAACATTCAGAAAACTAAGATCATGGCATCTGGTCCCATCACCTCATGGCAAATATATGGGGAAACAATAGAAACAGTGCCAGACTTTATTTTCTTTGGCTCCAAAATCACTGCAGATGGAGACTGCGGCCATTAAATTAAACGACACTTGTTCCTTGGAAGAAAAGCTGTGGCCAACCTAGATGGCATATTACAAAGCAGAGACATTACTTTGTCAACAAAGGTCAGTCTAGTCAAAGCTATGGTTTTTCTAGTAGTCATCTATGGATGTAAGAGTTGGACTATAAAGAAAGCTGAGCACTGAAGAATTGATGCTTTTGAACTGTGGTATTAGAGAAGACTCTTGAGAGTCCCTTGGACTGCAAGGAGATCCAACCAGTCCATCCTAAAGGAGATCAGTCCTGAATATTCATTGGTAGGATTGATGCTGAAGCTGAAACTTCAATACTTTGGCCACCTAATGCAAAGAGCTGACTCATTGGAAAAGACCCTGATGCTGGGAAAGATTGAAGGCAGGAGGAGAAGGGGACGACAGAGGATGAGATGGTTAGATGGCATCACCAACTTCATTGACATAAGTTTGTTTGAGCAAGCTTCAGGAGTTGGTGATGGACAGGGAAGCCTTTCATGCTGCAGTCCATGGGGTTGCAGAGTCGGACACAACCAAGCACCTGAACTGAACTCTGCATATAATTTAAATAAGCATGGTGACAATACACAGCTTTGTCTTACTCCTTTCTAATTTTGAAAGTTCCACGTCTGGTTCTAACTGTTGCTTCTTGACCTGCATACAGGTTTATCAGGAGACAGGTAAGGTGGTCTGGTATTCCCTTCTTTTTAAGAATTCTCCACAGTTTGCTGTGATCTACACAGTCAAAGACTTTCAAGTAGTCAATGAAGCACATGCTTTTCTGGAATTCCCTTGCTTTTTCTATGATCCAATGGATGTTGACAATTTGATCTCTGGTTCCTCTGCCTCAATGTATGTATTAAATATTTATTAAACATCAGCTTTGTGTTTGGCACTGGGCTAAGCCTTGGAGCTATAGCCATGAATCTATCAGTTTATGAGGCATATGAAAGACAAGTGCAGAGTGCTGGAGCGGCTAACAGATCCAAACATAAGGACATTTCCTGAAGGTGAAGCGCGGTTAGTTTCTTTTAAGGAGGTAAGGGTGGGAGTTGGAGGAGGATAGAATGTCCCAAGCAGAGGGAAGAACATACGTAAGATCCCTGAAGTGACAGAGTGCATGACAGGTCCAAGAAACAGACAAGAAGGCGACAACGATGAAAGCAAGAAGGATAATTGGATGAGTCTCGATCATGAAGTTCTTCAAAGCAGTGTATGTGAGTCCATTTTTCGTTTTAAGTACCTACTGACACCAGATGACTGTATTGTATTGTATGAATATCTCCTATGAGACTATCTTGAAGCTAAGGCTATAGGGATTAAGACCAAGTGATTTCTGCTTTCATGTAATTCAAGAGAGCAGAAAAGACCCATAGTTTGGCACTTGGTGATCAGTACCCTCAACTACACTGTCATGTCAATAGCCACCAATGAGGCAGTTTCTATAAGATCTTGGGTTTCAGAAGGTAAGGATGGGAAGATAAGTTTCTTCAATGTAATTTTGGTCTAGCTCCAAAAACATCAACTAGAATATATTGGTCTTATTAGAGTTGGCACCTCAACAATACCAATTCTTCATTAATGGGGTAAGGAAAGAGTCAAGCACAGACTGGAAGATGCTCTAAAGCTTTCTCCTGAAAATATAAAAATCTTGGGAGAGGGCACTCAAGACTTTGTCATTCGAGAAAACTACTCGCTCTACTTCCTTTATATTTTAGCCCCCAGGAACACTGAATTGCTCGCTCTTTCCTGCACAGTCTACTTGATAACTCATCTCTTGGCCGTTGCTTGTACTGCTTTCTCTACAAGAAATTTCCCACTCTCCCTGATGGTTCAGATGTCATTTGAGTTTCTTTAGATTTCCCTGCTTAGCTATGCTATGCACTGTGTTATTTTGAAATTATATATTTACCAGTCTATCTTTCCTTCAAACTGACCTTATAGAAGGTGGGAACTGTATAATATTCACCTTTGTCTCCTGGCTCCTTGGGTGGCACATGGTCCCTCACATATTTGATGAATGAATGAACAGACAAACACATTTGCTGAGAATATTCTTGCAAAGGGAAGAGTCAGAAAAGACATAATACAAGTACACGATTGATATAGAAGTAGAAGTCATTTTGTTCTATGCACTCCAAAATAAAAATGGAAAGACCAGAAATTCAAATTGTGGCTTAGCTGAAGGATGAATGAGGAGACGAGAACTGTTCAAACTGGAAACAGCCTGCTTTGCAAGAGAGGGAGGATCCTTTATTTA